CCTGAGATCATGACCTGAGCTGAAACCAAGAGTCAGACACTTAACTGACTGAGCCACCCAGGTGCCCCTGAGATTTTTGTCTTTATCATTGGTTTTGAACAGGATTTTTATGTTGGGCCTTGGCATGGTTTTCTTAACATTTCTTGTTCCTGGAAGTCACTGAACTTCTTGGATCTGTGAGTTTATAGTTTTCATCTGATTTGGAAAATTTTCCAGACATTATTTCTTCAAGTATTTTTTCTATCCCTCGTTTAGAGACTTAAGTTTCAAATATTATCAGGCTGCTTGAAGTTGTCCCATAGCTCTCTGATGTTCTTTTCATTTCATTTTTTTTTTAAAGATTTTTTTATGTATTTATTTGACAGAGAGTGAGAGAGGGAATCAAGCAGGGGGAGTGGGAGAGGGAGAAGCAGGCTTCCCGCTGAGCAGGGAGCCCGATGCAGGGCTCGATCCCAGGACCCTGGGATCATGACCTAAACTGAAGGCAGATGCTTGAGGACTGAGCCACCCAGGCGCCCCTGTTCTTTTCATTTTAAAATACTCTCTTTGGGGATGCCTGGCTGGCTTAGTCAGTGGACCATGCAACTCTTGATCTCTGGGTCGTGAGTTCAAGCCCTACACTGGGTGTAGAGATTACTTAAAAATAAAGAAAAATATTCTCATTGTGTTTCATTCTAAATAGTTCCTATCGCACAGTCTTCAAGTTTGCTAATCTTTTCTTCTGCATCTGTTGCTAATTCCATCCAGTGTATTTTTCATTTCAGATGCTGTAGTTTTTATCTCTAGGAGTTTGATATAAGTCTTTTTCTTTAATATCCATGTCTCTACTTAACTTTTGGAATGTATGAGATTCACTTATAATGAACTCTTTTAATGTTCGTGTTTGCTGATTCCAACATCTGGGTCATTTCTGGGTCAATTTCAACTGATTGAGTATTCTCATTATGGATCTTGTTTTCCTGCTTGTTTGCCTACCTGATAATCTTTGATTAAATGCCAAACATTGTGAATTTTACTTTGTTAGGCTGGCCAGTTGTGTATTCCTATAAATATTCTTGAGTGTTATTTTGGGATGCAGTTAAACTGCTTGTAAGTAGTTTGGTCCTTTGGGGTCTTGCTTTTATGATTTGTTAGGTGGGTCCTGACCAGTGCTCTATCTAGGGCTTATTATTCCCCACTATTGAGGTAAGACCTTCCAGAGTCTTCTACCCAATGTCCTGTGAATTAGGAGTTTTTCCTAGTCTGACTGGTGGCAACAGGCACTATTCCTGGACCCCTGTGAGCAATGGGCATATTTCCTTAATCTGTTTGGATGGTTTCTTCCCCAGACTGGGGTGGGTAGTTTCTTCACATCCCTGTACTGATCAGTCTTCTAAATACTTGAGGCCCCTCTGCAGATCTCTAGGGTCTTTCCCTGTTTAGGTCTCTTGGTTTCTCTGTCCCAGGACACCCCCTGCCTTGTTGTCCCCAGACTCAGCTCCATCTCACTTCATATGCAATGTGCCAGGGCCCTGCCTGGGTTCGCCCTCTCTGTGCCGTGTCTTCTCTCAAGACTAAGAAACGTGGCAATCAATCAAAGGTCTCACCTCACTATGCGCCCTGTCTCTCAGGGATTGCTGTCGTTCATTGCATGAGGACCAATATCTGGAAAACTGTTGTTTCCTATACTATAGTTTGTCTGCTTTATTTTGGTTGATTCAGAGGGGAGGAGAATCTGGTCCCTGTTATATCATCTTGGGAGGAAGTAGAAGTCCTACTTAATAAACACCAACTCACCAAATTTGCTGAATTAACTCTGACCTGACCCTCCTAGATTCCTGTGGTCATGGGGCCTAGCACACAGTAGGTGTTTGTTTGCTATGTTTGTTGAATGAAGGAATACAGGAATACTTGACTTTTTTTTTTTAAGATTTATTTATTTATTTGAGACACAGAGAGAGCACGAGTGGTGGGGGCGTGCAGAAGGAGAGGGAGAGAGAATCTCAAGCAGATGCTGCACTGAGCACAGAGCCTGACACGGGGCTCGATCCTGAGATCTCACTATCCTGAGATCACGACCTGAGCTGAAACCAAGAGTCGGACGCTTAACGGACTGTGCCAGCCAGGCGCCCCAGGGGTCCCTAACCTCTGTCCTCTGCTCCCTGTCTTTGTCTTCAGGGCACTGCACTTGGCAGTGATTCATCAGCACGAGCCCTTCCTGGATTTCCTCCTAGGCTTCGCGGCTGGCACTGAGTACCTGGACCTGCAGAATGACCTGGGCCAGGTGAGCCACCCGGGGCTAGTACAGGGCTTGGGTCCGGGCTCTCAGTGCAACCCCTAACCCCTGCCCTCTGCTCCTGCAGACAGCCCTTCACCTGGCAGCCATCCTGGGGGAGGCCTCCGCAGTGGAGAAGTTGTATGCGGCGGGTGCCAGCCTGCATGTGGCAGAGCGTGGGGGCCACACGGCACTGCACCTGGCCTGCCGCATGAGGGCGCATGCCTGTGCTCATGCGCTACTCCAGCCCCGTCCCCGGTGCACCAGGGGAGCCCCCAACACCTACCTCGCTCAGGGCCCTGCCCGCACCTCTCAAGCCGATCACCTGCCTGTTGCCTTGTACCCCGAACCCGACTCGGAGAAGGAAGATGAAGAGAGTGAGGAGGATTGGAAGCTGCAACTGGAGGCTGAGAACTACGAGGGTGAGGGTTCCCAGTCACTGGGCAGGCCCGGGCTCCTGGGCAGAGTGAAAGCACTGGGCTGTGGGCTGGGTTCTCCTGACTCAAGACCCAGCCCCTTGGGAAATAACACTGAGGCTTCAGGGACCCCAGGCATGGGGAAGGGCTCCCACTGAGGCCCCAGATTACTGAGAATCGGTCATGTGGGATTCAGGACCCGGACCATGTGGAGGCCCGAGACCACTTGGGACCCAGACCTGTCACCCACAGGCCTAGAACTACTAAGATCCCATTGTTGGGCCCAGGTTCCGCAGGTGGAAGGCACAGCTCACCCCAGACCTCACCCCCTCCTACCAAAACCACAGGTCCTAGTCTACCCAGGACAAGGGAACTCAAGGCCAAGATTCCCAGAGATTGACACTGGGTTCAGGGGCAGCCCTCAGCCAGGCCGCATGGGAAAAAAGAGCCCATCTACCCAGGGCCCTGGCATCTGAGTCTCAGGTCTCCCACCTCTAAGCCCAACTACCTGGACCAAGCCCCTTCCACAAAGGGACTGAGATCACCCAGGACCCAGTGTTCAGGACCCAGCCCACCCCCCAAGGTCACAGGCCCTTCAACTACTCAGGATCCAGGAATCTGGGGTCCAGGTCCTTTGTGAAATAAAGACCAGAGACTCAGTCTCCCGGTCCCAGGATCCGGGCTTCCTGTCCAAAGCCCCCAGGCTCTTCACCCATAAGCCCCAGACATTCCACAAGCCAGACATTGGCACTACCAGCAAGTGCCAGACCCACCAAGACTTAGGCATTGGGGGTGCAGTTGCCTCTTTGACTTACCCAGGAATTCAGGAGCTGGACCCCAAGCTCAGTCCCCTCACGAAGCCCTCCCCTATTGGCATTTGGGGCCCCGGCCCCTCACCCCCATCGTCTGACACCAGTCACTCTATCCGCAGGCCATACTCCACTTCACGTGGCCGTCATCCACAAAGATGCAGAGATGGTCCGGCTGCTCCGGGAGGCTGGAGCAGACCTCAACAAACCGGTGAGCTGCCCTAGGGAGAAGGCGTGGCGGGGAGGGTTGCCCCCCGGAGTGGGGCAGAGCCTCCTTGACCTCTGTGCTGCTCCTTGCAGGAGCCCACGTGTGGCCGGAGCCCCCTGCACTTGGCAGTGGAGGCCCAAGCCGCCGACGTGCTGGAGCTCCTCCTGAGGGCAGGTGCCGACCCCGCCACCCGCATGTATGGGGGCCGCACCCCACTGGGCAGCGCCACGCTCCGGCCCAACCCCATCCTCGCCCGCCTTCTCCGTGCATATGGAGCCCCTGAGCCTGAGGACGAGGACGACAGGCCAGGCCCCTGCAGCAGCAGTAGCGACAGTGACAGCGGGGACGAGGGCGTGAGTCAGGAGGAAAGACCGGGCGGCCTAGCTGGGGGGTCAGGGTGAACAGGCAGGTGGGAAGGGGGGAGAAGAGAAGTTACACAGCGTAGTGAGACCGACCTCGGGCCGCTGCGATCAGAGAACTCAGGCAGCGGTGCCAGGGCTGTCAGGCAGCTGTCCGGGGAGACCTGGACAGGGCTGGCGGGGAGAACGCGGGGAGCGGGGCTTGAGCAGAGGGAGAACTCAGGCGGAGTGACCAGCAATGGCAGCGGTTGGCGGCGGTGGCTGACAGCGCAGTGACCGCGCCAAGCAAGAGTTGGAGAACTCAGGTGGTGGGAAGCCGACCTCGGGCAGCAGGGATTCCAACCCTGGCAGCAGCTGGGAAAGACCTTAGCCACCAGTGAGGAGGTTGTGTTGGGGAACCCAGGTGGCAGAGACACTCCCTTGGGCAGGGGACAAGGTTGGGGGGGGAGGAGTCTGGGTAGAGGCGGGGGGTGCAGAGGAGGGAGACCCCAGCGGCCGTGGCGAAGCAGCAGGGCTGGAGCCCGAGCAGTGGCGGGCGGCGGGAGACCACGGGTGACCTTGAACGTGGTGGTCGGCAAACTAGGAGCAGGGGATTTGAGTGGGGGGACCTGGGCTTCCAGGAAGGCCCCAGTTGCCGGGGTGGGTGGAGGAAGCTGGATAGCCGGCAAGGGGACAGCCGGCTGAGCCCCTGTGCCTGCCCCCCTCTGCCCCCAGGATGAATACGACGACATCGTGGTCCACAGTGGCCGGGGCCAAAACCGGCTACCTCCCACCCCAGCCTCAAAACCTCTCCCTGATGACCCCGTCTGACCTAATTGTTAATAGAGTTTCCAGTTTAATAAAATCCCAGTTCTGACAACCAGAGACTAGACTGACGGTCGCCTTTGCGGTCCTCCAGTTTATTCCTGGGTCCCTGTCCCTCCAAAATCAAGTGCCACACAAGCCTCAGTGGTTTTCTCTGTGCTTTATTCACACCAAAGGGTTGGAGTGGGTGACGTGGGAGGCCGGGTGTGTCCTGAGTCAGTGTGAGCCCAGCCCCTCTACCCAGCTCACTCAGCCCCTTGGGCCCAGTCACATGGCCCACCCTTCTCCCCGTTCCTGCAGGTTGGGGAATGGAGTGGGCTGTTAGGTGAGCTTTGGGGGTCCACGGTCCTCAGCCATAGGGTGTGTCGGGAAGGAGGACATGAGGTTGGGGGTCATCACTCCCTCCTGATCTCCCCCAGCATCTCCGTTGCCTTCTTTAGCTCCTCTCTCACGTGCTCCAGCCGCTCCATGTCGTGCTCCTGGTGGGATCAGAAATGGGCTGGTCAGCACCCACCTTCAAGGGTGGGCCACCCCAGTGGTCACCCGTGAATGTGGGCTGTGTCACTTTGCACAACGGCAGCCAGCAGTGATCATCCTGGTCCCCATGGACCGCGATAGGGGCCACAGTGGAAGAGTTACGTTGGCCAACGCGACCAGCAGTGTGGTCCGTGTTGACTGCCTAGCGAACAGCAGCAGAGAGGACTAGTAAAGGTGCCCAACTTGGATGCCATGACCCCTTTGTGAGGTGCTGGCCGTTTTGGCCACTGCCACCAACCGTGGGGACATCCCACTTCCCATGACTCAGCAGCGGTGTCCATCTCTAGTCCGGTGAACCAAGCACAGCAGCCCCTTCCCATGTGGCCAGACTGCTCCTTACAGAGCACAGTGGTGGTAACTCAGCCACTTCTCTGCCACACTCGTGGTCGTCTTGGTTACTGTAATCTCAGCCATCTTGACCGTCTCGGTCCAGCAGAGGCTGCTGCCTCGTCCCGGTGTCAGTCCTGGTCACTATGATCCATTTGTGTGGATATTGGCTATTTATGGCCCAACACTGGTATGTGTTTAGTCGTAACCCACTGGCCATTTGGTCCACCCCACTTGCCCATCGCCTCCTCCGCTCACCTTCCTCTCCGAAGCCTCTTTCTTCTCCTCCTGCTTGGGCTCAGCTTCTGACTGCTGGTGGTGGCGGTGGTGCGGTGAGTACTCGTGCCCCTCTTCTCCGCCCCCCTGCCACAGGCTGTGGCCCCCGCTGAGCACCTGCATGCCCTTCTCCTCCGCCTCGAACTGGGCTGTCTCCTCCTCACTGGCCTGCTCTGCCCCTCGCTTCTGGGGCCCCCCTCCACCGTCTAGGCGCCGCTTCCACAGGCCTTCAAAGGGTTCCATGGGCCTGCTCTTCCTTTTCTCCTCCTCCTCCTCCTCGTTGTCCTCCTCCTGGCGGAGCCGGCTGTGGAGCTGCTCCTGGATGGTCTGTTGCCGCACCTCAGACTTGTGGGCCCTCTCCGCTGCTTCCTCTTCCTCTTCCCTCACTTCCTGGCTGGGCCTCGTCTTCCCAGCCTCTTGAACCAGTAGGCCTTTCTCTTTGGTGGACGCACAGCCATAGGGCTCTGTCTCACACATCTCTGGCGGAAAGAGAGAGGATGCTCTCTGTGCGGCAAGTCGGGAAACTGAGACCTGGGGGAGTTCTGGGGTCTGCCCGAGGTCCCACAGGGGGGCTGCCCAAAACTGGGAGAGGCGGCTCAGGTCTGAGGGACATTCTCTGCCCCCATCCCGTACCTCTGCAGGGAACCCCAAGGGTGGAGCTGGAGGCCAGGCTGGACACTGCGCTGTGCTGTGCCAACCCAGGCAAGGGGGCTCTGGGAGAAGACACCCCTTCCTCCAGGAAACCCTGACCGAAACCCTGGGTGGGGTGGGGGCACCCAAGAGGAACTGGGGCCTGGGCCCTGCTTACCTTTGTGGAGGAGAGCTGTGCAGGGGCTTCTCTGGGCCTGGCCCAGTGTCAGCACTTCCGTGACCACCTCGGCCAGACAGCGGGTCAGCTGGGGGTGAAGGGTCAGAGGGGAGGTTGAGGGCAGGGCGGGGGGGGGCAATGAGAGCAGTTGGGGGTGTGGAGAGGAGATGATCATGCAGGCTGGTCAGAGAGGGCCAGGGTGCGGGGGAGATGGGGCAGGGCAAGGGGTCCGCACTCCTCACCTCTTCCTTGGAGGGTCTTGGTGCCAAGGGAGCAGCGGTGGCTGTGGAGGAAGGAGATGGGTGCTGGGCTCGGACAACCCCCCGCCCGGGTGCTGTCCTCGGTGCTGATCCCAGCTCCAAGATGCATCCCGTTACTCACCTGTCCCCTCCCCCAGCCTACCTGCCAGGTGTACCCTCCCCACCCGGAAGCTCAGCCCGCGAAGTCTCTGGGTGCACCGTTCCCGCCCCTGGTCCCTCGAGTCCCTGGTCCCCGAGCTGGCCGCAGAAGCCCCCTCTCCAGTTTCTGGCACTCACCCGCCCCCAGCAGCAGCGCCAGCAGCAGGGCCAGCGGCAGCAACAGCAGCACTGAGGGGGGCCCGCGGCGCTGCATGGTGGGGCGTCCCGACCAGGGTGCTTGGTGCGGTGCTGGCTGGCAGCGCGGCAGCTGCTTATAACCCGCGCCCATGGCCCCGCAGGGGAGGACGGGACGTGACCACCGCCCCTTCCCCGCCCGCGGCGGGGTGACAGCTGCGGGGCGGCCACCTGCCCCAGACTCTCAATTATTCATGGAGACCCACGTCCTGCACCCACTCCACTCCAGCTAATGGCCCCTGAGCGCCTGCATAGGGGGAGGGTGCGTCCCCCAGACAAACAGAGTCTGATGAGCTTTACAGCTGCACTGGGAAACCGACCGGGGTTCGAATCCAGTGGCAGCCACTTGCAGATAGACCTCAGGCAACTCCTCTTTTTGACCATTTCCTCATCTCAAAATTTGGGTCTCCTAAACCTCTTGTCCCAGAGGTTGTGGCTGGGCCCTGCCTGCATCCCAGTTCCACCACCAACAGCTGTGCGGCCCGGGGAAAACTGCCGGGCCTCTCTAGGGTTGGTTCCATCCTTTGTGAAATGGGGCCGGCGGCCGCGACTCCACAAGTGAGGCGTGGCGGTAGCTGAGTGCAGGTCATTTAGACAGCACTGGGCACTGGGCACTACGCAGGTCCCAGCCCCTTCCGGCTGGGAATTTTTATTGAGCACCTACTCTATGCCCAGCGCTCTTACAAAGCCCAGGGCTTCAGCAGCGGACACACTTCCCTGGGCTCTTGGAGCAGACATTTGAGAAGGGGCCGATGTAATACTCAAGTATGCGTCAGGAAAAAGAGGAAATGACCCCAGACTCCTGCATCACATGAGCGCTGGGGGCTTTTACTCTGGCGGGTCAGGGAAGTCCTCTCGGAAGAGGGTATTTGCGCCAAGGCCGGAGTGATAAAATGGAGGCAATCATGCAAGATGGAGGGAAAGCATAGCCAGGGAAGGGACCAGCGAGGGCAAAGGTCTGAGTCAAGAATGAGTCTGCAGAGTTCGAACGGCCAGCCCCAAAGGAAGACAGACAAGAGGCGGGTTGAGGAGGAAGGCAGGGGGCAGATCATGTGGGGCTCTGTGGATCCTGGGGACCACTCTGTCCTTTCCCGTGAGGGCTCCAAGCAGGGGAGGGACGTGACCTCACCCGGGGGTCCATAGGGTCGCTCTGGCTTCGTGTGGGGGCCCAGGGAGTCGGGAGGCAATGAAGAGGCTCGTCAGTCACAGTGAACAGGACTAGGGAGGAGAAAGTAAGGGTGGCTTCTGGAGATACTCTGAAGGAGGAGTGGCCAGGGTCTGCTGAAGGAAGGACTGACGCAGGTGTGAGAGGAGTTGAGGGTCACTGGACGGGCACGGTGAGGGGCAGAGCGAGTTCTGGCTTCGCTAAGGCTATGCTGTCTCCTGGACCCCTCCTAGCCGCGGGGGGTGGAGGGGTGAGGTTGAAACCGGGGTCAGTGCAAGGTGTCCCCTGTTCTAGAGCAAGGGGAGAGGACTTGGCATGCTCTCAGTTCTGGCGGTGGCCCCCAAGCTGCCCTCCATGTGCTCTGGGGGTTGTGGCCACAGTCCCTCCAGCCACAGCCCCTGGGATGGTTTAGCACCTCTGGCCAGCATGCCCAGCGAGCCAGCCAGGGTCCTCCGCCTTGCTCACAGATCCACAAAGGCCTTGGTTCTGACCATTTATTGGGGACTTCCTGCTAAGTACTGAGGGAGGGAAGGAGGAAGGAGTATTGGAGGCTTCTTCCTCTTTTCCCCTCATTCCTACAACCTTCAAGTCCCCAGATGTCCTGCTTTCCGGTGCAGGCTGGGACCGTCAGTGGCGACGGGGTCACTGGCTGATTCTGAGGAAGTAGGGAAGGGGCCCAGGCACGGAGCTGCAGATGTCAGGACTCTGCTCAGGAAAATAGGTCCCGGGCTTCCAGGGTCCCCCGAGCTCCAGGAAGCAGCCACAGCCCGGCTGACTGATGGGGGTGAGTTCTCAGCTCGAAACAGGCCGGCCCGGGCGCCTGGGCTTCTGGGGCTGGTTGGGGCCGATGTATTGGAGAGGCACGTGGGTGGGGGCCGTGATCCGATCAGTGCCAAGGTAGGGCTGGAGGGCAGGGGGCACGAGGACCGAGCCATCCTGGGGACAAAGCAGGCCTCAGGTCGCTGCCACTGCCCCAGGCCTGCACCCTCTGCCTCCCCGCGTGCGATCCTCGCCCGCCTCACCTCTTGCTGATTGCTCTCCAGGAGGGCGATGAGGAGGCGGGGGATGGCGCAGGCCGTGGCGTTCACCTGGGAGAGAAGCACGCTCGCGTCCACATGATGACCTCTACTGGCCTGGGAGAGGCTGAGGTGGCGTGGGCCTAGGAGGGTGGAGGCTCTGGGGCGGGTGGGAGGGGGGTGCGGGCGCTCACCGTGTGGGCGAACTGCAGCTCCCCAGCCTCCTTCTGGAACATGATGTGTAGCCGGCGGCTCTGGAAGTCCGTGCAGTTGGACGCGCTGGTGACCTGGGCGAGGGAGCAGGGTGGGCTGAGAGGATCAGCTGTGGGGGGGTAGGGGGTCCCGTCCCCACCAGGCGTCCCCACCGCACGGGGGCTTACCTCGCCGAAGCGGCCGCGGCCTGGCATCCAGGCCTCGATATCGAACTTGCGGTAGGCGGGAAGGCCCAGTTCCTGGGTGGGCATGTCCAGGATGCTGCCGCGGAAGAGAAGGTCATGGTGAAGGTCAGTGGGTGAGAGGCGGAGGCGGCGGCAGGGGGGGTGGCAGAAAAGTGGATGGAGAAGAGGGTGGGGAGGAGAAAGCATGGGCCACTCTCAGCACCCCCGGTTTGTAATGGGTCCCCAAGGAAAAAGCCCACATCCCCAGGCCTCTCTGGAAGCCTGTGACGGACAGGGCTCGGGGAGGGGGGCGTGGGGCTGCCTGAAAGGGAAGGGGTGTGCCCCCACCTCCACTCTGCCCGGGGTGCTGAGGTGCTGCCTGGGGTGAAGTACAGATGGGGGATGGGGCGGCACCGAGGGATGGGAGCCAGGAGAGGGAAGGGGCCTGGGCCTCTACACTGGAGCGCCCTGTGCTGCTTAGGCTGCTGGCCCCGTCCTATGGTCCTACACGGGATTTTACAGCCTGACAGACACACACCCTGCAGATAGTCCTAATACGGGAAAAGGGGGCGGGGGGATGGGGGTGATGAGGCTGTTCACGATGAGGGAGCACCTAGCCAGCCCATCCCTCCTCCCGCACCCCCACCCTTCTCCGCACCGGAAGTGCAGGCCCAGCTCCGTCAAGATCTCCATCTGCAGGGACAGGAACTCCTCCAGCAGCTGTGAGCTCTGCTCCAGCCCAGGGCCTGTCACCCCAAACATCTCCACCTGGGGCAGTGCAGTGGGCACAGGAGTCAGGAGACCCTGGGTCACTGTAATGGCCCTCCTCCCCAGTCCCAGCTACACCAACCTTGGTGAAGTGGTGTACTCGATATAGTCCCCATGGCTCCTTCCCTGTGTCTGTCTCGGCCCGGTAGCAGGTACTGGAACAAACCATCCTGGGGGAAGCAGGGGAGGTGGTGTCAGGGAGGGGAGAGGGAATGTCATGGGTGGAAACAAGATCTAAAGGAACTGAGCATCACCTGATGGGCAGGTCCCTGAAGGCCACGGAGTGGTCCATGAAGTAGCCTGGGGGAAGAGGGGAACAGGATGGGTCAGCTAGGGGCGCCACCCATCCACAGGAAACCTCTGTGAGAATTAGAAAAGGCACCCCTCTGGTGGACACAATCTCACGGCAAGGCAGTAGCTGGATCCTCACTGGGCTGTTGTGCAGTAAACAACCTACACAACCGTACATGTTGGCCCTGGGGTCACTGGGACATCCTCGGCTGGCAGCCATCATCCCTAGGATGCTCCTGGTTGTCCCCCTACAATCCCTGCTGCTCTGAGGATGCTGGAGGTATCCTCACCCCTGCTGTTGCCCCCAGGCAGGTGCTTACCTGCAAGCCCCACCTCTGCTGTCCCAGCCAGGTTGAGGTCTTCAAAGCGGGAGGGGTCGATGTTATAAATCTGGGATGGGTTGGCATTTGGTGTCATCCCACAGCCTTCCTGGGGAGGAGGCCAAGCCACAGAGGTCAGGGTACAGAGGACCTCGGCCTCCATTTTGCAGTCACAACCCCCGCTCCTCTCCAGGAAGCTTCTGGAATTGCCCTGGCCGCCTTGTTGTGGCCCGACACCCTCAACCCGGTCCCAGGGTGGTCTCTGCCGGGGGAGACAGGCTGTTCTTCATGCCTGGGGTCCCCAAAATTGGCACACAGCTGGGCGTGGGGAGCACTCACAAACACAGCTCCTCGGAGAAGGTCTGGCACTGTCATGGGAGTGAAGCCCTGTGAAGAGGAAGGGGGTGCAGTGAGGAGCGCAGCCAGGACCCCCACCCGGCCCCAAGCTCAAACCGGAAGCAGCGGCACCGCAGAATGGGCCACAAAGCCCACTCCACCTCAGAGGAAACTGAGGAAGGCCTGAGCGGTGGGCTTGGAGCTGGCTTCGGGGCCCTCTGCTGGGGCTTCACAGTTTCCTCACTCAGTTCAGCGACACAGGGTAGGGGGAGGTAGAGTGAAAGCTTTCTGTGGCTCCCCAGCGCCCTCAGGAAATGTCCGGGTCCCTCACCGCCGCCCACGCCCCACGCCTCCAGCCCCTGCTAAGCCTTCCCGGTTCAGCAACACATTTCCCCAATGCTCCCTTTCCCCTAGAGGCAGGCGGGGAGGTGATGGGCTCAGGCTCTAGGGCCAGCCCCAGGCAGCAGCCACGACATCCTGGGCTAGTCACGCCCTCTCCAGGCCTTCATTTCTCCATCTCTGAAGTGGGGATAATAATGGCACTACCTCCCACCGCTGCTCTAGGAACGAAATGTGTCAATAATACGTGTAAAGCTCTGTAAACAGTGACTAGAGCAGAGGTGACCCCCCCCCC